CACACCACACACACACACACACACACACACACAGCACACACACACACACACACACACACACACAAAGAAGTTGCATTGGATCACAAGAAGAAGTGGAGAGACCTGGGGAAAGCCGAAATGAAATGATTGTGCACTGAATGCCAAGCTAGAAATACTGAAGCAGTTCTGAAGTGGATTTAGTGCGGCTTCAAATTAAATTCAAACAGGCTGATTTAATTACATAACATTTGGTAGCGTCAGTAGTAAACACAAAACAGACACTACAAACAGATACATTAGATTTTATCACCACTTCAGGCAGTACTGTAATCTGAGACGAGGCTACAGCTCGCTGAACATATCCCAGAAAAGAGAAAACTGGTGAATGTCAGAAAAAACTTTTAAGTGAGTTTTGAAAACACATTTCTTCCCAATTAGAGGTTCTAGCTGCTGCCTCAACCTGCAGCCTTTGCAAAAACATACATTATCCTCTTCCTCCACCTGCACACTCTTCAAGACAGCTGCTTCCAATGCCCTCAACTCAATCCTCTCCCAGAAACCAGCAGATGCCTCACAACTTCAGTTTATGGGTGCAGATGCAAACCATGTCTCCAAGTTAAACCTCTATGAAACATGAACAGCCAGTGCCTTAAACTTCAGTCTCTTAAAGAAAACAAGAGATGCTGACTCCACCTGCCACTAATACAAACAACCTCCAGTTTCTGATGGCACCTGCAGCCTCCGTCAGTAACCGTAAGATACTGCTTCTGCCTGTGCAATATGAAAGACAGCAGCGTCCAATGTCTCCAACTCTAGCCCTCGTCAGTGATTTGAGTCAACCTCCACCTACAATTATTGGCTGAAAGCTACAGTCCACGCCCCCTTTTCGATCTCTGTAAAATCAAAGCAACTCCTTAAACTGAAGCCTCTGACAGCAAAAATCAGCTTAGCAACTCCCTGCAAAGTGTGGCTGACAGCAAAAGCAAAGTAACCCAAAGCACCACCTTCAACCTGAGCAAACATGCTGCATCACTGCCGCCACCTCCTGCCTCTGAGAAACACCAGCAATTGCTGCTTACTTGCGCTACCTCCACCACTGCAACAACAAAGACAGCTGCTTCAAATGCCTCCAACTCAAACCATCTCCAACTGCAGGTTATGGACAAAGGCTGCAGCCAATTTATCGAACTCGACCTCTGTGGAAAAAAAAAAACAGCACCGCCTCCAACTGCAGTCTCTACTACCACGGTGAGCTCCTGTCTTTGTCTCTAATACCGGCCAACAATCTGAAGCTGCCTCCACATTAAGCCCCTTCCAAAAAAGCATCTTCTACCTCCACCTGTGGAATATAAAGGACACTGCCTCTCATTAGCATCCAATGCCTCCACCTGCAGCCTCTAGCAGCAAACTGAGCTGATGACTGAAACCATCAGCCTCAAACTCTAGTATGACAAAAGGACAACCTCCACTTAACACCAGCTGCCACTCCCATCAACTGCAACCTCTACCATGCATGAGCAGCTGCTGACTGTAGATGCAGCCTCAGCATGAAACCATTATCCTCCCCACATGTGAAATATTGAAGAAAGTTTCTTCATATTCCTCCCACTGGAGCCTACGCCAGCACCCTTGGAGCTCTACCTCAAAATATGCTGTCTAATTAAAAAGAAAATATTTTCAATATTAAACAAAGTTCATTGCACTCTTTCAAGAAGCCTGTAAACTGTTGTGTCATGAAATGGACTGTAGGAAATTTCCATCACCTGGTTAAATGCAGAACTGTATCAGAATATATTCAGTGCATTCAGAAAGTATTCGGATTCCTTCACTTTTTCACATTTTGTTATGTTGCAGCCTTATGAACAGATGGGTAGATGTTTGTCAACAGGGCTGATATTGGCTGATATGTCTACCAATGCATCCCTAATATATTTCTATTTATGTTTCCAATTAGTGATATTAGCATATGTTGACAGATGCATTGATGGTCTGTGTTATTCTGAGGCGCAAAGGCTTGCAATCAAGTAAAAGACAAATGTACCTAAATTCACTGTGATGTTGAATAACAGTTACAAGTACATCATGTTTACGCAGAGGGATATATTATGTAACAAGTCTCAGTGATCTTGTTCTCTATAACAGAACTCATGGAATGCCTCTTGTCCAATCGAATAACTCCAACTGAACCAACTAAACTTTAGAACCCAGCGTCGACTCTCGAACAGCCCTTTGAGAAGATTTGGAGTATGACAGCGCTAAAAATTCAAGGTCCTCATAAAATACAACATAACAAAAACTCTCTGTCACAGACACACACACACACACACACACACACACACACACACACACACACACACACACACACACACACACACAAATGCCCTTGGGAAGAACCACAAAATGTCCTTTTCTCACTTTACTCAAAAAGCTGAGGAGCTGCGAAGAAGTGTGGAGTCCCAGAGGAACCAGGAACCTTTATATTGGCACGAAGGTCGGAAGAAACAGTGAAGCACATCAAGGTTGACACTTCCTCCTACGTTTACAGCAGATATCACTAATTAGCTCCGCCAAACATGTAGGAGAAGAAATCTAATTGGTGCCTGGATTATATTTGCTGTTAGCCTCTGACCGAGGGAGTCAGGCATTCTTCTACTGCACAGATCGTATTGAGCTGGGGAGAGGGGGGGGTGGTGGTGGTGTCATTATGTTGTCTATCTTTCTATATGTGATCTGGGGGCTTACAAATTGTGCTGATAACATCCTGGCGGAGCCTAGGTAACTAAAACATATTTAATTTATAGATAAGTTCCTTCAGGTCGATGTCCACAGCAGCTCAGAATCTTGTATCTGTTTGAAGAAGACAGTAACAGTTAAAAAAAAATGACTCTTATGTTGTTGATGCAAAGTGTTACCGGTACATCTGGTCACTATAGTTAGCAAAACTAGGTTACAGGGTTCATGACACAATGATGAAAACCTCCAGGATTCGCAGTGTGCTTTGGTAAAAAAAAAAAAAAAAAAAAAAAAAAAAGAAAAACATATGCCAGGTCAAAAACCATAAGTATCTGCCATCACCCAGTATTGGTCCACTAGAGACAGTAAAACAGTAACCATGGCAACACATTAAAAAAATATATCGAGTTGAGAATTTAAAATGTTGAAGTCATGTAATGTAAAGGCACCAATAGTACTTGGGTTAAAATCAGCAGCTGTATGTGAGGTTTAAAGTAAAGTAAAGTTTTGTTATTTTGAGTTTCACACCAAAAGTAAATACCTACATTTCAACATTTGCACTCGACTGACATTGTTGCAATTATAAAAATGCAACAACCATAGCAATAAGAAAAAAATGATGTCGAGGCTGGTATTGAATCATGGGAGTTCTCTCTGCCCCCCCCCCCCCCCCCCCGGCTCCTGAGCGCAGCAATTAAAGGCTTTCCACTCTGGTATTTCAGACTTCTTTTGATTATGGACACGCTTGTTTGGTCACCCCAATCTGTGTCTTCAATGGTAGATAAACTAATTCATCATTTAAGGGGAGTGACATCAACATGTGCTGAGCTGCTTTGAAAACCTTCTCACCAGAATTCTTATGGGGAGAGCAAATTTGTCCGAATGACGTGGCTGATTACGCTGCACTTCAATCCCCGCTGATGGCTGCTTCTTTGTGGGTGTTTATGAGACAGAACAAGGCAGAGAATAATAAAAGATCAACTTCAAACAATAATTTTTTCGGTCTTAAGTCCTGCATGGGCTCTTTGGTTTCTTCTCTGACGCTTAAATTAATCAAAGATGACAACTGAGCTTCATGTCTAAATGTCAAGATGTCTCCATGCCTGATTAATGGCTGTAAGTGTAATCAGTCCGAAATGAGACCAGGCATGGAATATTCCCAGTTTAACACACCACATACACACAGAAACACACACAGAAACACTCACCTGAGTGTCTTCCTGTGCATGTCTTCTTCTGTGATCCCAACGTAAGTGAGGGTTTCATTCCAAACTGGATTCAGAGAGTTTCTAATCGTCTTCGTCTTCAGCTTATTGGCCTGTAACACAGAGAGACAGACAGACAGACAGAGGCAGACAGACAGATAGACAGACAGACAGACAGACAGACAGACAGACAGATGATTTCTAGGTTTGTGTTTTTTGTTCTTCATTCACTATTCTGTAATCATGTGACCAGTCAGACTTTTTCTTAACCGGTACTTGTAAAGGCAGCATGTCTACGGTACAGCCAGGACCCCACTGCATCAATCTGTGCCACATTCCATCATCATAAATTCTGGAGATGACCGCACATTCTCCAGTCAGTGTTTCCTGGAAATATGTGCCCATCCACTTTTCGAAAGAGGCGCTTCATTGAAGCTGAACGGAGCAGATTGACTGGGACAAGAAGTCAGACACAGTAACGCATTGAGCATCCAGTCTATTTCAAAACAGAGCAGACTCCCAATAGCCCATCGCTGTGTCGGCGTAACGCCAAAACAGGTACCAAATGAACAGCAGGCACAACTGGACGGAACCAAACCACAGCAAAGACAGAATGTGGCACACAGGGATGGTGTTGGCGTAACAGTTGCCCAAACGTCTGAAAGAGTTAATAAATGTATTTTTAGACTGTAAACCCTTTGTTACCATTTTTTGATGTGGGGTAATGTCTCACCTTACAGGCTCCAGGCAGCAGGTGCAGCTTCACGTAGGGGTCTGCTAAACCGTTGAAGTCCATGGGCTTCAGACCCTGCAGACAAACACAAAGACAATTCTATAGATTAAAAACTCATGAAGACAATAGACAGTATAGTAACTAATGAAGTCTTTCATGCTGCCACCAGACCAAAATAACATGACGTATTCTCATACAGCTATCGTGGTTCATTGAAAGCAGTTTAAGAATGAGTAAATAAATACAGCAGTGCCCATCATATGGTCGGCTGAGTGCTCCTCCTAGGATTGAAGGGTGATAAGGGCTACACTCATGTTTCCTCGGTCCTCTGAGCCAAACTAAGAGACTTGAGATGTCCTTCAACATGGTGACACAGAAAGACTTCCAGTTCAAGTGAGGAGCGAGGAAACGAAATATAAAGAGACACGAGAAAACACAGGATTGGTTTTCATGGTTTTTAGTTACCATGTAGCATCTTTCACTTCACCAGTAAATTTTGAACCTAAATCTTTGTCTTAAATGCATCATTTCATTTAACCCTTCGTTGTCAAAGTAGAGATTTTGATTCGATTGAGTTCCACAATGATACCAAGCTTTGATCACTATTAAACAATCAGATATAATATTTCTTTATCTATACGTATATGCTGTATCTACAGAGGTTATGCAGTGGCGTCTCTTTCCTGCAGGAACATGCCCCTTTTAGTGAGACTGAGTAGCAAAACATTCTCCAACATGGCTGCCTTCATTAGGGGAAACAATGAGAACTGGAGTTGAGCAAACAAATATCTGCTTAAATTAAAAAGCAGTTAGAGCTCCTTACTGATTGCCAAAGAAACAGGAGTGTACAGTAATTGAAAAAAATAATTGATTTCCTGAAGTCTACAGTACAGTATATGGATCTGACTTCAAAGGAAAGTACACAAGGTGAAGCCTAAAAGCTGGTAATAAACTTTCTCCGTTAAATCAGACTTTCTGCTTCAGGCTCTGTATGTGCTCAAATAAAAGAATCGCCGGCTGTTTACTTCAGTCAGACCGATGTAATGAGAAGAGATGATGAATATAATGTAACTTGATGTATGGGACTTGTAACAGGACGGCTTTATTAACGTACATTACAGTTCCATATACATTATTATATAAGCTGAAAATCTATACTGTCTCTGGTATTTCCCATTTTGGAAGTCTTTTTTTATGACTTTTTGTTGGTTATAACCGATGAATGAGGTCTCAGCGATGTTATTGTAGGTTTATTGATATCCTCCTCTTGACATCAGTATCAGGGTACTCTCTAAATAAGACTTGCAAAATCAGCTCATGTTTGACGTTAAATCCCTGTAAGCTGTTCACGGATCAACACTCACAGTTGTATCATCATATAAATCACTTGATTGGATGTTGCCTGACCTCTCTCAGATCTCTCTCATTGATAATCCCAGTGTGTTTGGAAAAAAAGGAAGCAGGATGGATATATATTTCTCCACACGGCTAAAGGATCAAATGACACTTGATTTAAATTTGGTGCCCTCATCAGCGGGTCACAGATCATCATGACAAATTGCTCCTAAATTTCTTTCAACAGCTTTGACATTTGCAGCGACAGCAAAGAAATTGATTTTTTTTTTCAAGCAGCATTTTTAATGAGGCTGCGGGAGCTGTGAGAGACTATGACCTTATAGATGAACATATTCAATCATACATGAGCAGGAGGACGGATACACACCTGTTACAGGATGTTTCCTTTACACTCATACTGCACTAACACATCTGCAGTGTTCTTTGTTTATGTCTTCATACATCCATTACAGTTGGTTTATTTTACCAGCTCCTGCAGTAGGATTATCTCTACAATGTCAACAATAACTCATTAATCTACAGTCTCTATCCATTTTAATGCAAGATTTACATCTGGGACATGAATATTTAGGCTTGTTCAAAGTGTGCATGGTCTTCTGTCTTTTGCCAACAGATTATTTACACTAAACCTTGAAGTCTAGAAGATTTGTATGGTTAATATTATAAACATTATTTAGGATTAGTCTGTAAACTATAACTCTTTTCTAACATCATGCCCTGGACTAGTTTTGTTTTATCAGAGTCAAGAAAATAAACATTAAACTTTTATCCACCAGTCACACATCCTGCAGAATCCTACTGCTGTTTCCATCTGTTTAAAAGACAAACTGTAAGTTACAGCACCTTCTATCACATTTTTGAACCAGCTTTAAAAAGACTGCAAACCAGATTTAATATTAAGTAAGAGCAGCGAACGTCTCTGTTTTTGGTTTAGCTCTTAAAGATCAAATCTGTCCTTAATCCTCAAAGAAAACTTCACTCACAACAGGCAGCAACAAACTGCTTTTCTGTCAGAAACAAGTCGATGCCAGGAGGGAAATTATCGACTTTCAAGTAGATCCTCAAATAAAGACGACACAGGATACAAAGCTCAGTAACAGCAGGTGCTCAAATTATCTCCCATCTCCCAGATAATGAAACAATTTAAAGCCGGCCTCTGTTTTCTATCAGTTTGCTTTTCTCTGATGTCTTTGTGACAATGTTGTACCCTTTACATCTGCTGCTGTTAGCGCCTCATAAATTCAGCTGCAGTGAGAGAGAGAGGCACAGAGATAAAGGATTATATTTTTGTGTCACCTCTGAAGAGTTCAGTCTCAATGTGGAGGAAAACTGCGGAGGTGGAACATGTTGTTCTTTTAATTATCCCCATCTGAAGACCTCAGACCCCAAACCAGACTGTTTAATCCTCTAACCAAAGAATGAAAAGAAATTCAGCTTCAATTTCATTTTCATGCAAAATCAATCAGAATTTTTATTCATCCTAAAAATTGAAAAATCGTAACAAACCAAGATTTTAATACCAAGGTCTATAAAAGAGTTGGCAAAAGAACAGTACTCAATGTGACCCAAACACGAGGTGTTTACTGAAAAAATAAACAGTGATCTAACGTGATCCCCTAATTTCAATGAAAGTGAATTGTGGTACAGCAATCAGCTAAACATGTGTTCTCCCCACACAGCAAATAACAATATTAGCAATTAACTATGTAAAGCTGCTGAGATGCTTATATTATGAAAGAGTTATATCAGGGAATGTGGTAGCCTCAAAATACTCTTTACCACAATTCATTTCAAAGCCGCCGCAAAATCAGACATCTCCAGCTCAAAAATGGTGAAATGCCTACAGCAGGGCTCCACATTATAACCAGTGGGACAGCTGATTGCCCGTTCAGCTGGCCCACTGGGGCCAGTTCAAATACTGCCCAAAAAAAAAGGTCAGTAACGCATTCTCAATTTCACAATGCGTTTCCTGTCATGCGGTGTTTTGTCAGTAATTTTTTTTTAAACGTTGCGCTAATAACTGCTACAGCATCAACATATAAGTGCTCGCGTGCGCGCACGTGTGTCATAGTTGAAAGGCAGCCGACGGCTTCACTGCTGTCCCTCCCGTGAGCACGCTCGCTACTCTCGAATTGTACACTCGCACACAGATTTTAGCGCAGGTTTTCTCTGATAAAAAACAAGTTTGGTAAAACGGTTTTAAAACCATCAGATTGCAACAAAAGCGGCAAGTGGCAAATTTAGCTTAATGTCAACCCCTGCTACAGCATGCTGTAGTTACCAGGACTTCAGTTTTTCTCAGTTAGCTGAATGCCGTATAGCTTTTAAACCAAGCGTTTGCCAACACCTGACTCCAAATCATAGACTGTATAAAACGATGGATGACATGACAGCTCGCCAAAAGTGAAGCCAGACATTTGGAATTCCCCCTGCTGACTAACTGCAGTGAAGGTCATAAACTCTGCCTCTTCCTTCTTAACAGATGGGACATGGATCAAACTGGCATATTGAGAAAGTTTGTTTTCAAAAAGTAATATGTTGCTAAAAAAAACTTTTACACCAATCATCAGTGAACTCAATAAATGTGAGAAACAACCGTCACCAGCATCTGTTCTGCTGTGGACGGTATCAACCTGAGGGATCTTTGCCATCTATTGGTCAGTTAAATGTGTGTTTTTGTTAGCGTAAGTGGCAGGACATCAATCCACGACAGGGTCTACACCACAACTCTGGGCTTCACTTTTATTCAAAAGGAGGAGGTGGAGACACATGGTCCATCTTTATATACAGTCAAGGGTTCAAATCTGGTCACTTCTGGTTCCAGGCCTACAAAGAAGGCAGCCAACAGGACAAACTTGTGACTTCAAAACAGCATTCCACAAACCAAGGGGACGGCCAGATGGTATAACATCTTTCATACCAGCTAAATAACATGATGGAAATATGGCCTTTACGTTCGTTTAATAGAGCAACTTTTCCACCTCAGCCGGATGTGAAACTTTTAGCATCATTTTGTGATTAAATTTCCCTCTGAGATACAAGGGAGGAGATAAAGTAACTGTCATGAAAAGCAAAGACTCTCTTTCCCTCTTGATCTTCGGTGAATCAGCAGGAGTTTGTTCTTCCTTTATTTCCGCTCTATCGGTGGAGATTTATAGCTGCTGTCGTGTCAAAATATTAATGGAGTCCCTGATAGTATTTCTGTGTAAATCCTGGAGCGCCTCACACCCATGACATTTCAGTCTTCTATTTTGATTAATGTGGGATCTGGACAGTAAATTTCACTGGAGCACAGAAGATGGATCACAGTATTGTGTGTATAAATCATATGAGAGCAGATCTCCTGGGTGAGTGTTTGTCAGCTGGTGTCTGAACTGCTGAATCAGTCAGTCGGGTCTCATTGACCTGTTTACACTCAGAGCAGGGCAGATAAGTAGTAGCAGGGCCCAAAGGGAACAGACAGAAAGCACTGCTGAGACTTGCGGACAGCAGCAGATTAACAATGGAGAAGGTTTTGTGACTCTGAATCATGACACAAACGGCTGAATGCCTTCTCCTCGTGGTGTTAAATGATCAATGTAGAGAAACGTGTTAGTCTCTTCATGTGAACTTACAAGGTTCACAAAAAGGTGAGGGGACAAGGACTCTCCCCCAGTAAGTGTGGCAATCTTTTACAATATTAAGAAGAACAAGAATGAAGAATTTGCTGTTTTACCTGCCTGTTGTAAAATTCATATTTTCTTCACTGGAGAATGGCTTAGTCTCTGAGTGTCGTTTTGGACATGCATTTCAGCATCCAGCCACAGTAACTATTACCGCCAAATGGCTAGAAAGTGAGGAATTTTGTAATAATCTTACATTATCCCTGTTCATAAAAGAAAAGCATAGCTAGCACAGGATGCTAATACAAAAGCTAGAAGGAAAACTTGGAAAAGCTGTGTACTGTAGTGGTGCCTGGAAAGAAATTTAAGTCACATTGAAGGGACAAAAAAAATGAATGGTTCAAGCGCCACATCATTAAACAGCCCTCAGCCCTGTAGCAGAACCGATGATATTTTCCAAGAAATTACTAAAATCCCAAATTGTTCTCCTACAAATTTCTTGCTGTAGTTAGGCCAGAAACTCAGGTGCAGCAGTAGTCAGGGCCAGAAACTCTGAGGGGGCAGTGACTTGGTCTGTAAGGACTTGGGTTGGCACTGGAGGATCATGGTTCAAGTACTGGTACAGACCAAGTCTGGAACTGGATGGATGGATGTGTTCAATATTGTGTTTTGTAAAGAACATGAAACACTGCACCGTATGTGGATCAAAAATATCTGACACTAATTAACATAAAATCCGATTAACCAATTTAGAGAACTGACAGGATTGTGTGAGTGTGGAGTGGGCTGATACCAGTGGATTGGACAGTTTTATCATCACATGATTCGTATGGTTTGCAGATGGACCTTACCTTGGCCCGCAGCACAGTGCAGTGCAGCTCACTGGAGCTCTGGTTGTATCTCAGCTCAAACTCCAGCGTTCCCAGCGCAGCTGATCAAAGAACAGATAAAGAAAGAGAGGAGAGAGCCAATTATCATAACACATAAAAAAACATGATTTACAACATTCGCATCAGTGGAGAGAAAAACTGACATTGTTGGAAAACTTGTCAGATTAAATTGAAAGCATGCGGCGAGGGAAGAGAAGAATTCCTGAGGAGCAACATGCGTTCAAAAGCTGGAAATCCAAATTAGCAGAGCTGCACCTGACACATGAACGTGAACACATCACGTCAACACAGAAAATCTGCTTAAAAAAGGAGAGCAATCACGTTTGTCAGGGCTTGTTTCAACCATGCAGAGCACAACTGGAGTTCTTCCAGTGACGTTATGTAAGAGGATGCATACAGCATACCATTCACAGGGATTAGAACAAATGTTTATTTTAGGTATCAGCTCAGATAAATACCAACAAACCACAGCTTACACATCATCTTTTGAATTTGTACTAAAAGATACGGTAAGATACTGTAAACTGGTGTGAGGTTTATTAACCTGCACTGCACTTAGACAAGGCTGGCTCAAAGTTAGTTTCTGTTGCATCAAACAGGCTCGATGAACGGGATCATTGAAGCGACAACAAGGAATGCAAAACAACTATGAAGAAACACCACAAAAAAAATACAATACAACTGAAAACAACCACAAGGGCATAGCAACAAACTACTAGCGAGGGAAGACTTTAAACAGATGACTCCAAAGAGACATAAAAGAACGAGGTGTTAAACAGCCATAAAGAGAAAACCATTCAAGAGGCCAGTGTGTCAACTGCTTTGGTCTAGAATTAATCAGGCAACACTTTCTTTAAAGGCGTATGCATTAGATTGACATGACACTGTCATAACCATTACATGAAACCTTTTTGTCATTAGGTCCACTATACTACTATCCCCCTTAATTCATAGGTGACATTGTTTAGGATGTTATGACAACTTGGCATTAATCCACCAGTGTAAACCACACTTAGGTGTGTTGATTTTGGCGCCCCATGGGGACAATAAGGTAAATCTTGTCACTTTACTGATATAGTCCTTCACATGCCCCAGGTAAGTGTTGTGACAAAGAAACCTCTTCTGCTATCTAGCATTTAAATGTATCAGTTGTTTTAAATATCGCTGTAAATCTGACGAGACAAGCATTTAAAAGAACTATTCAGAAACTTGTTGTTTATGCTGACGGTCTTGTTTGCTTTGTAGGTCACAGAGATGCATCAATATGAGTTTTAGTCTGTTTAACTAAATGAAAATGTAGTGGGGACTTGAAAATCCTCCAGCAACCACTCATCAAGTCTGGGTATCTTGTGTGTTGATACGATGATACTTTAGTACCGTTGAGCTGTTTGAGGACAGAATAAATTCTCTTAAGTTCCAATCAAACATGCAGAGTGAAGAGATAAACAAATCAACTAAGAGCTACAGTTTATGGATAAACAGCCTCTCTCTGCTGTCTCTACTGCAGCTCTGGACATTTAAAGGCAATAAAAAAGCGCTCTCAGTGCACTTCTCACTCTGACATTTTATACATCTTTTTCAAATTTGAATGCTTATGGTTTTGATTCCTCCCACCTCCACTGACTTCCAGCAGCCCGCGGCAGAGACAAGCGGCTGCTGGAACACTGCAGTAAAAACATTCTGCACCAACGATGCACATTAAAAAAACCTCTGCAGTAATAAAATCTGAGCCTGGGCATGAAATCTCTAAAGGGATCCACAGAGCAAAAAACAGAAAGTTGTAAAGATTTTTTTGGGGGGAAAGTATCGTATACGTCTACTCAACGCTTTAAGTTGTAGTTACAGACTATATTTTATTGTAGAATGTAATCATAAAAAAACAAACACATTGATAAAGCAGTGACTGTGGTAATAGACGTATATGAATGAGGAAATAAAAAACGTCCAATTAGGCTTTTCTTTGGTGCAGATCTAAATCAGAGGAGCTTAAAAACATGTCAGAGACAAGAGAGCAGCTCTGACACCAGCCTCCAGTCATTTATCACAATCTGTGCTCATTGAGTGAAGCGAGTGATCTCTTCTATGCTTTTACTCCCCAAAACATTCCTCTAAAAGCGATAATTTGAGCAGTCACGGATTTAATGTGTCACCAAACACGTCTCATGTCTGTGTACCACTTCAGGTGTGGAATTATTGGTTTCTAGAAGTGTGTGTGTGTGTGTGTGTGTGTGTGTGTATGTGTGTGGGCTGAATTTTTAATGTTACTTTGACTTACAGACATGAATAATGGACTAGTGGGTTCTCTGAACTGAACTCTTGGGGGAACTGGAGGAGGACTGGTGTTTGTGTTGTGGTCAGTCACACAAAACAGGGACTTTTTGTATTGATCACAGAGGAGTCACTGTGGCATCTTTACATCGCCTCAGACCCAGACGAGAGCTCTGCAAGGCCTCTGCAGGACCACAGCAAGTTTTAGAAACACTGAGGTCATAGGTCCAAATTGCCTTTTAACACTTAGAACTCTGTAACAGAAACAGTCCACAAAAGTCTACAGTGATGTTTGCTTAGTGCGATGGAATTTTGTGGAGTTTCTTATAATAAGGTATAATGTGCGTCATTTTAAACATTTATAAAGCAGAAATCAGATCTAACTGGACTAAATATACCTGAGAGTAATGACTTTCTTTAAAAAAAGAGTGAAGTCAAACTCATTGTTGGCTTGTTGTTCTAAGCTCCTTGTTCACACTGATGGAATGGCACTCCCTTCAGCCTGTTTAAGTTTTGTTCAGAGACCCAAACATGTTTTTTTTTACATGAACCCCTCCCTGTCCAACCGTTAGCCTTGCCACCACGTGGGGGAAAAAACTGTATCAGTCAAGTAAAGCCGATCTGAAGTGTAAAAGATCATGCTGAGTCATGCAAACAGTCATGTGAAGACGCTAGTTTCCAATTTTTTTTGAATGTGTTTAGAGACAAACAGACACACAGACACACAGACACATGCCAACAGCGAGGCTCACTGCAGTCGTCACTGTCGGAGCTGTTAATCTCCACCGACGTGTCCACGCTGCTGGTCAGAGACAGAGACCCGCCCCCACCTGGCCGCCCGTGGGCCAACAGGGGAGACAGGAGATTAGACCCGCCCATCCCCGGGACCACCAAGCCAGGGCTAAGGGCCAGGGGGGAGGTAGCAGGGTTTGGGGAAGTGGGGCCAGGGGAGGTAGGGGACAGGCGGGGGAAGTAGGCGGAGATCTGTCGGATGGGTCTGATGGGGCCAGGGCATACGTCAATGGCCATGTGTTCCTGGATGGAGATGCTGAGCTTCTTTCCTCTCTGCACCGTCATAGAGTCTGAAATAAGCGGAGAACACACATTAACTCAAAGTTATAATCTAGAAAAAAAGTGGTTAGACCATTGTCTTTAAAGTCACTTATATTGCCCAAGAAGTTAACATGATGGTACACCTGCTCAGGTTTTTAAACAAAGCAGACGCAACACAAATGCAACACAAATATGAATGACCCAAGAAAAAAATATATAAAAGTTAAAGTTAATCATATAAACAAAATGAAAAAATGTAAGTTTAAAAGAGTACACTGTATGCAAATAAATATAACCAGTCAGGTTTCAGGGAACTTTGAATGATAGTGTTCTAGCAGCTTGATTCTTTTTTCGGTTGTCGATTGAAGCCTTTAGGCAGAAAGATTACCTGTTTGTCATTGAAAAACGTTGCTGGTAGAATAATAAAGTAAATCACAAATTGATTTTTTTTTTCCATCAGGACTATTTTAGTTGCATATAATAGCCCCCAGATGCAAAAAGCATAAACAAGCGGGTGACTTAAAAAAAAGTGCTCCTGTTCAGAGTGTGCTTGTGTGTGTCTCATGTGCTCAGGTGCATATCCTTTCTTCAAGGTGCCAAGAGGTTGTCATCATATCCTGCTTGATCTGGAGCAGCAGGGTCCCTTGCTCCACCCAGGATATAAAAACCCAGCTTCCTGTACCACTCGGACTCTCTCTCTCTCTGAGCTCGACCGACATGTGCACAGTTGTTGCTTTTGTTCTTTATGTTAGCGCACTCTTCAACACCACACACCACATGATGCTTTCACACACACCCACACGTTCACCACTAATGATACAGATTAAACACACCTCATAACTCTGGTTATGGATCATTTATTTACCTCATTGTGTAATAAATTACTTGTTGTCTTTGATAACTTCTGACTCCTCTCTTCTTTTGCCATGACCCACAAATTGGATTATTTCTAGTTAATGTAAACACTCAAAGATCAGGTGAAAGCTGTTGTATATTGTCTGGGAGTCAATTTCCATTCAGCTGAGCTTTCAACCAAATTATTGGTACATGTTCTTCATCTTTCTCTTCTTTTTCTCTCACAACATTGTCATGGTTTTATTTGGTTTGGTTCACTTTACCTTAAGCTATAGGTTTAATAGTCCCAGGTTTAGAATTGAGGATTTTTAAAACTCCTGTGGTCTGAGCCCAGCCTAATCCATCTCTCTGAAGCGTCAGACGTTCTGTCTTTGACTGTCAGCGCAAAGCCTGTAGGTTTCTACTTAAATCTTTACTTCTGTACTTTTCAGATATACAGTTATCTGAATACGAATAATTGGTTAGATACTAGTACAGCTGCTCATTGAAGATTTAAAAAACAGGGTGAACACTGCCTTTTTGGGGACTATTGTGTTTTGACAGTGCTGGAGCTTTATGGCACGAAGAAGGAAGACATATCAGGCTGTGACACACACACACACACACACACACACACACACACACACACACACACACACACACACACACACACACACACACACACACACACACACACACACACACACACACACACACACACACACACACACACACACACACACACACACACACAATACGTATTAAAAGACAACATTCACTGTTGGTTTAGCTCTGAATATGACTCTCAATGACATCAAACAAAATGTAGAATATGACTATGAACCTTTAAGCTCAAAGCCAAAGTGGCAGACTCATCCCAGCTCATGTTGCTGTTAACCTGCCTCTTTTTATCAACCCATCTGGTTCCTGGTGTTAATGGGAGCGCACAGCCATGCTTATTCTCATTTTTTCTGACACCAGGTCTGACACAATTTATCCCCAGCAGCAGCGTGCACGGCCTGGCAGCAGGTGTTTAATGAGGAGTGTGTTTGTGAGTGTCTGAAACATGAAAAGAAGAAAGAAATTGAAAGTGAGTGAAGTAGATAGAGGCTGCTCGTGCGGGGATCCTGTTTGAGTCTGAGGCCAGGCAGTTTGACTGACAGCGAGCTACAAAGGAACTGTATAGATGTGTTGGCATAAAAGAAAGATAGCAGCTGTATACGGGTCCAGAACCGTGCAAAGATAACTCCTACTTTCCTACACACAAACCTTTTTTTATTTGGGATGAAGTTAAACAACTTTAGTGGCCTTCTTACGGGGAACAACTTAACATCAATGAACCTCAGAGAAGACATTTTTTTCAGCTGCTTCGCCTTACGTTGAAAAGACATCTCTGACATCCAACTCAACTCAAGCTGAGGATGCAGATCCAGGGCCTTTGAGCACCTGTAGAATATGTTACCACACACATACACTGTCATATTGGAAGTCAAACATAATCATATATGGATATAACTGAAATTTCACCTGTTCTACTAAACCCCACACCTTTAGGAGAATCGAGGAGCAGAAGAATCAATAAATCTAACTTCCAATTGTGCGCCGTGGTCTGTCATCGCCACAGCTTTGCTCTGTCAGCCGACTCTCGCCCTGCCCATTGGGTTCGTTTCTAGAGAGTGAGCGCAGTCATGAGCAACTGTACACACATCACAGGGAACTACAAGATCACGCAGAAATAATGAGAATAACATGCACACAACATGTTGCTTTGTGTGTGTGCCCCATGTACAGAGGCTTTGGTCCTCAAAGTGGGCATCCCGGGTTCAAATCCAACCTGTGGCTCCTTTCACGCATGTCCTTCCCCACTCTCTCTCTCTCTCCGATTTTGGACACTATCCACCGTCCTATCTCTAAAATAACGGCATAAAAAGCCCAAAATTAAACTTTAAAAATAAAGCAACAAAAAAAAAAAAAGGGTTGATTCTCTGCTAGCCAAACAATTTTAAACAGCTGGCGCTAATTATAAAATAATTTGCCTGTCTTCCCACAGCCATCTTCATGCTCACTGGTGGGAGATAGTGATCATGAGGGAGAAGACAGATCAAATGTTTAAGAAACTGAAGATACTAAAACGAGTGAGAGAAATTCATAGTGGGTGGATTTACTTAACAGACTGTGTAAATGAAAAGAAATCTTCAGCGTGTGGATCTGCGTAAAAAGCTCTGCAGGGTGCCCGTAACGAGGCTGAAACAGAGCCTTATATCTAAAATAAAAAGTGTGAACAGCGTGAGGGGGTTGATCAAAGCGGTATCTCCATTTGCATGACTTTAATGCACCAGAGAGTGTGATTTAATTCACACAAAGTTTGAAACAAAAAAGTCATCCATACTATACCACTAAAAAAAAACTACAAGTGTTACATGGTTCATTTAAGAGCTTTTTGTTTGTGTGTTAATATCAGTGACCCTGTTCAATGAAATGTGCTGCATTTAGCTGGATTCTCCCCTCAGGTGGTGTTTTATAAGCTGTTATTAGCAGGGAAAGACGAGCTGATTCATATAGTACTAAAGTTAACTAAAAAATGACATAACAACTACAGTTAACTTACCATTAATACAGGTTATAATTAGCTCTTTTGGATGTCTTCAAGGTAGGCAGGAAGTAAGCCCTGTTAGCTGACCACTGCAGGTAGTCTCGTTAGCCTGAAGTGCTAGTATTGGTAGCTTATCGGTAATATGTAAATATAAAATGCTGTAAATATTATGCATCTAGCTAGCAAAGAAGTTTAAAGACTGACTTGTACTTTTTATTTCATTAAAATACAATTATAAATGATTATTAAAAAATAATAACAATCCATTATACGCATAGGTGTTCAGTCATTAAATGGAAACGCTAGCTTTAATTATTTATATTTAAGTATTTATGAATGCCATTGCATTTTCTTTAGTTTTACATAATCTTTTATTATTCATGGTATTTGAATGTATTTTGTGGGTGTTTTGGTCCACTGGTGCTTCACTGTAGTCATGTTTAATTCAGGGGGTGGCAGCATTTATCAGTGGAAACATTCTCCCACTTGAAAGGGAAATCTGTCGCGTGTCCAGTGAATGATATCGAGTCACAGTGGGATTACGGTGAGGCTGAGCAGAGTGAAGCTGAGAGAGAAGCCCAGTGGAATATGCTAATGAAGACACGAAATGCTTCCCCCTCACATCCTCACGTCCCTCCCCTCACCCTCTCTCCTCTTCAGGGTTGTATCTCACCTGCCAGTTGCTCCAACAGGTTATTATTCACGTGTTTGTCTCCCCCCTCTTCCCGTCTTTAATTCACTCTGTGTTGCTTGTTGTCGATATGTCACTGTTGATACTTTCCAGCTGAAGTATCAACAGTTACTTTATAACTCCAACAAGGAGGTTATGGTGTTGGTGCCGTTTGCAGGTTTAAAAATACTTCCACCAAGTATCTATTTCCATGATACTTGGTGGAAGAAGGTTGTGGCACGGGTTAAGGAAGACTGTACATTTTGGACCCGATCTGACTTAAAGACAAGTTTGAGCCAATCAGCATCAACATAAAATCAAGTTTGAATATCTTCCTGCTGACAGCTGCTGTGATGGAATTTCTGAATCTATTTAGATGTACAGACATTATTTAGCTTACTGCTACCTGCTCCTGACGTCGGTCTGAGCTGATCGAGTGAGCTGTTACTAGGCCAAGTAAGGACAACTTAGTGTTCTCTTTCATATCTGGATTGTTTGATTGACTTTGTGTCCACTGAAAATTGTCTTAGACATCACATCCTAGTTTAGGCAGGATATTTTGACTCTGACATTAAAATTATCTTTTGGATATATAAAAAGCCTTTGTAAAGTTTGTCAGAACTAGCTTGGCAAGACACTGTATCACACCACTGTGTGCTGTTAATTGATTTCTCCTCGTGAGTCTAATATAAACTTTCTTCAACTTAAGCCATCTGAGTCTCCCTGAATCATTTCTTGTTTGAAGTCAAGTTCTTACAATTTGCCCCAACAGCTGTTACAAATGTTCTTGATCAAAAATCAGCCATCATCCAAATGTTAATACAGTTCAAATCAAAATTATGACTCTTAACTTTCTTCATATTAAACACGATGATTTCCCAAAAGCTTTAACTTTAAAAAACAAGCAAACAAGATGCAGTCCCAGTTCCTGGTTTGTAAAGTTTGTCAGAACTAGCTTGGCAAGACACTATCACACCACTGTGTGCTGTTAATTGATTTCTCCTCTCGAGTCTAATATAAACTTTCTTCAACTTAAGCCATCTGAGTCTCCCTGAATCATTTCTTGTTTGAAGTCAAGTTCTTACAATTTGCCCCAACAGCTGTTACAAATGTTCTTGATGAAAAATCAGCCATCATCCAAATGTTAATACAGTTCAAATCAAAATTATGACTCTAACTTTCTTCATATTAAACACGATGATTTCCCAAAAGCTTTAACTTTAAAAAACAAGCAAACAAGATGCAGTCCCAGTTCCTGGTTACTGTAACACTGTGAATATGCTAACATCCAAAAGTTTCAGTTTCTCCAACCCAGCATCCAGATGTGCCAGTGCAAAGGCTCAACAATGCTAACACCTGTCTGTGACTAGTTTTGGCAACTTTCTGTTGAATTCAATTTCATTCAAAGAGAGCAATCAACAGAGACACCAAAAAGAAAAACAATCTTTTCCCCTTCTTGCACTATTGCAGCACTTGTTTCTTTTCTGGACGAGTTTTGCTTTCAGTCCGCTACAGTTTGCTTGATATGTAAGGACCTCAAACAACTAGAAACAGTTACAGCTACGAGTGATGCAGACGGAAAATGAACACAGGGGAATAAATTCTTTGGTCTCCCTTGTCATATACATAGATATGCCTGCTTAGTTAGAACTGCCCTCACCCCTGAGAAAAGCTGACCATTAGTACTTTCCAAATAGTCCCTTGAAGTCAGTGATGGAGTATTAGGGCAACGTTAAAGTAAAAAATATCTGAGATTTCGGGAGAAAAGTCGTAATGTCATGAGAATGGAGTAAGATTACAAGAAAACTGTTGTTGTATAACGAGAACAAATACGTTGTGACCTCATTACGACTTCATTTCTCAAAATTTCAGTATTCTAGTGTAGTAACACATAATAAATCCACAGTGGACCTAATTAAAGATTGACTAGAAAATCATATTTCCACATATATAAAACATGATGTGTTTTCACAACATATCAAGACATATGAAGGCCAGACTACTGGCCTTGGCAGAGGTCAGCGTTCAGCTATTGTTACACCTGCAGGGTGTAGAGCTTCTTCTAACATTTACTGTAGAGGTAGAAACCCCTCTAAAGATTTTTGGGGATCATCAGCAGACATTGTTTTCTGAGCATTTCTTGTAACTATCTAACCACAAAGTCTTCACTGAAAAACACACTGCACTGTGTAACACTCACCTCCCTGTCTTTTTAAACAGCTTGACCACATCTGCTGCAAAAAACATGATTTCATTCACTTTTCCTGCCAACATTTTCTGAGCATCTCTGGGATTTGAAAACCTCCAGTCACTGAAACAGCACATTATAATTCATACCCACCTCCAGCCGCATGTAAATCAATACTGACTCTTCACTGACACAAAGCTGATGGTACCAGCTGTTTTGAAGGAGTTTCATGAGCAGAGAAAAGGTGGGAAGGTGTCAAAAGCATTTCCTGAAGAGAGATAGGGAGGAAACTACTGTTCTGCCAAATTATCACCTAACCAATCAATGAACACACACTCCAACCAAACACACCTCATATATGGTATAGGGGAAATAATCAGTTCTCTTAAAAGTTCCCCTTAGTCTTCTCTAAATGTTACTATAGATACTGGTGGAAGTCCAATAATTATATTTACCAAATGGCAGTCCCTTCAGGCTTGTTTTGAGATCCTTTACCTGAGAGCCTGTACCCACCAAATGTACCTACTGAAGTGACTAACAGAAACAAACCCAATATTGGTTAGAAAGCCAACGAGGGGTGAATTAGGAACTAGTCTTGTATGTGTATTTTGATTGTAGCAATAACCAGTTTCCAATACATATAATAGGTTTGGATACATCAATCTATTCATTCATGGTCCATGATATTAGTATTCAATAATCCCAAAAAACATTGTTCTGTAAATCAGATATATATCAAACCAAACTCAATGTAAGACTCCAACAAGCCAACACATTGACACAATCAAATACTTGTATGCTCCATTCCCACACCTGGAGCTATGGCTTTATGCACACCAACCCAAGGCTCCAACAGGTGTTCAATGTCGGAATTACATGCAGATTATATATTACACTGTGTTACCTTGTTGCATGAAACAATTAAGTAAACAAATACATAAAAAATTATGTATTGGCTCCAACACCAACATTATTGTCTATAGTTAGGTGGAGACCTAATGAGGCCATAGTGAATATGATGTTGTAGGGATGTGGTTTCTGACACTGTTTCTGTTCATGTCATCCTCCACTCTCTCTCCCTTAAATGTTCTGTCTCTCTAAAGATGTCCTATCTAATAAAGGGAACACACCCAAGAGAGCAACACTTGTGCGCTTTACTAACACTTGAATTTAATCTCACTTGAGACACTACATTTTGAATTCAGCAACGTTACTTGTACAGAGTATTTACAAACTATGGTATATGCTTTTTCTTCAGTATAGAATTTGAGTACTGCCTCTACCATTGATTTCACGGGTTAATCTTTATCACTTAAATGCAGAAACAAGTGGTGTAAATGGAGTATGAAGTTGTATATTAATAACAACTTAATAACACATTGTTGAGGATCACTTCACTGCTGGGTTGTTTAAAATGTAATTATACAACTTTTAAATAAAACAGTCGCTTTCAAATTTCTAACACTTGTTAGGCACATTATTAAGTTTGAAAGCAGTTATTCTTTTGAGAAGCTTTAACAAACAACAAGAACTAGATGACTTTTTAAAAGATGTGCAAACCTCAAAATAAACTGAAAATGAGCTTTTTTAAATATCTGTCCGCTACTGATACGCACATACAACAGGAAATTTGAAGAGAGGAATAAATATAAGAGCAATAAAAATGCACAATTGCTGAGAAGTGGATAAATACAGTTAAAGCAAGAACAAAAAAAGGACAGTAGGAAAACTAGACAGAGACGATGACAAAATGTAGTTCTTACCTTTGATTGTGAGTGGAGGAGATTCCTACACAAACAAGTGGATGTCAGAGCACAAGGGGTCCGCACTAACAGGTGGTGAGAGAGGCGGCTGAGTGGTCGAGAGAGGGGGAAGAAGGGGAGAGAGAGTCAGAGGGAGAGAGAGAGAGAGAGAGAGAGAGAGAGAGAGAGAGGAAGATTTCCTTGTGATAGTGTTTGAGTTTTAACTCTTTCTCTTCCTACTTGTGCTGTAAGATTTCTGTGTTTAATATCCTTCATGCAGAGATTCACATTCATCTAAAATGTCAACAGCGATGAAGGTCTTTCCTTTAATCACACTACACATGTATTAGATTAACTCCCCCCCCCATCCCGCTCCCCCTCTCTCTCTCTTTTCCTGCAGATTGCAGGGGGAGACTGGAGCAACATAACGTGCCAGCAGCAGCATCTGTCTCTTTTTTCTCTCTCTGTGTAATTTGTGCTTAATGATGCCTAATGATACATATGTGCATCCAATACACACATACGACCACGCATAGATAGAAACTCCTCCCTCTCAGGAAAGGGTAGAGATGATCTGGACCTCCATCCCTCCTTGTTTCTTTGTGTTCCTCACCCTCACTCATTTGTTCTCCTCATCTTCTTCTTCTCCTACCATGGTCAGACAGATAGGTATCCCTGGGGTGAATAAATAAAAAAACATCTATCCCCCACCACCTCCTCCTCCTCTTCTTCTTCTACTCTCCGCAGCTCATCCTCCCACACACTCTCTCCTTACCCACCCATGCATGCTGAATGATCGAGGGAACCCTGAGATGATTTCTTTCATTTTTCATCGATACCTCACCTCTCTCCGAGGTGTAACACGATATAAAAACCCTGCAGGCTGCTTCAGAGGGAAATAAAAAAATACTCCTGCTGCTAAACTTGCAGGTTCTTGCATTGTAAAGCCCAGATGGAACAAATTCTTCTTGTTCCAGTTTGCACCAGCTATCACTGGAGTCTGACCAAAACAAGCCAAGCTGGAGGAAAGCTTCTCACGATCTCTGCAACTCTGATAAAACAGGGTGCTTATTTGGGATAAGCAAGCTACTTGGGTTGGGGGCAAAAGAAGCAAACATTTACTGTTAAAAAGTCAAGCTTTAAAGAGGAGTTAGAGAGTACCAAAGGTAAGACTACTGGATGTTGTGAAACGGCTGCAGTCCAGAAGATAAATACATTTAGATTTCTGTTTTAGAAATATGTTAGTTATATAAGCTCAGTGGAAAAAAAAACAAGCTCAGAAAAAAGTAGTGTTTGACTCTCGAAATTACCACAAACTTCCCCCACGTTAACCTTTTCACTCAAATTACATCACCTGACTTTGTCCTTTCAGTCATAACAACTACGCCTACTAGGTCACCCCCTAATTATACAAGCAAATTAAGGTTCTGACAAGCGAATGAAAAAGGAGAGCCAGCTAATTTAGATGATGCAATTTGTAAAATCTGCACTAAAAAGATTCCTGTGAAACGTGGAAACATATCCCATTTGAGGTCTTACCTAGCAAATAGTCTTTGGCCCGTACGATTATTTAGATTGTGACTATTACTTATTGTACTATTTTCTTTAACAACAACAGCATGATAGTCAGTGACAGACACAAACATTCTCACCACAGAACAGAGTGGAGCAGCGCAGCAGACAGTGGACAGCACCTGGTGCTGAAATACTCTCTTTATCGATACAGCTGAAATGACAGGCGCTGTCCATGGTGCTGAAATGTTTTTAAGGGATTTGCAAATATTTCCTTTTTCGTTGCCTTGTGTGTTAGTTTAACACACATTTTTAATGACAGGGTGAAAATGTCAAACATTTTTAAAACTGTAAACGTTAAAATTAGTTTGAATTAGCTGAGCCTCTCCAGAATGCCCCTGCACAGTCCTCAGGTTTATAAACATCATGCAAAAAGTAAGGAAACATGAGCCTGAGGATAAGCTGGTATTTGTATTTGTGTTACTGTCTGATTTTTAAGTTGTGTCAATTTGGTTTCTATTCCGTCACGTATTTGGCTATTAGTTGGGATTTCAAACCTTGCCAATCGTACCAACTATTAATAAATAAGTCTCCACAGTGCTTATTACGGCCTCTAGATTTGATCTTTTGTGCACCCCCAACTTTTAAATTCAAACTTCGCCTACAGATACAAAGACCAGGATGAATCCACTGAGAAATCAAACAGGTAAAATTATTGAAAATAACAGGTGGCTGCATCGCTGCTCTGCTTCTTTATTGACAGCTCAGAAACGTTTCTGTATCTGGTAAATGGGCTGTAGCCCTTACACACCGATTGTTATCTAGGAAAAACAAAAGGCTGCAACACAATTGTTTGTGTTGAGAGAACAGAGGAATACAGAGATGTCTCTGAAACTCTGTACTACATAAAATTAAAGGAGTAAAGTAAATGGTGTCACTCTCCCATGTATTGATATGAAATTCACAGCTGATCAAAAGAGAAATCTATTCATTAATTTCTTGACGTATTTTGTCATTTGTATTCATGTTCCTGTTTAAATCTGCAGGTATAAATCCGTACGATGAAGGGTTAACAGTAACTCCATCAGCAGAGGATTGAGAAGTGAATTTGGGGTGAACAAAGGCAGAGGAGAGAGGAGCAGGAGAGTAATGCAAATGAAATTAGACCTGAATGGTTATTGTCTCATTTCTTACGGGCCATTAGGGTTAATAACACTCAATCTGAATAATACATGACCGTTTCATTGGCAGCACATATCTCTGAGGCTGAAGACGGAGGAGGCTGGGAGGGCCGTTGATATTTTCAATTATCTGACTCATTATCATCAATAATTAACAGGATCCTGAGCGTTCGGCTGACCATGAAAAATAGCCTCAGAGAGTCCAACAGCAACAGAAAAGATGTTCCAGTAATTTACTGTTTCACTCTCCCACCAGGACTTTGATTAATCTTTTGTCCATCAGAGGGCAGCACACTGTGGCTGTGATGATACATTGTTCAGTGTGCCTGTTGGCTTCATCTTTTTTTTTTTTACAGCAGTAAAGAAAGAGTCCCTTATGTGCCAACACATAAACAAATAAGACAAGGGCACAAAGTAGAGTGCCAATCTCTGTCAGATGTGTCTGCAGGCGTGTAGAAGGGACAAATGAAACCTTCTTCCCTTCTTTACCCCGCTCCAACAAACATGGTTACAACTCACTGAATTCTCTTCCCTCCGTTTCTTATAGTCAAGATGACAGCAAAACCTTTTTAAGTGGGGGACAGTTCAATATTTTTCTCCCATACAAATGGTTTCAACACAGAGGGGGTGTGTCATCAGCTTACTTCCACAAAGGCATTTCAGAAAATCACTCAAACATTTCACAAAACAACTACAAATCCCAACACTCTGCAGAATTACACAAAAACACAGAAGTTTCTGCATTTTGTGAAACACTGTAAATGTGATTTTGTGCAATGTTTCCAGTTGCTCCCGCTGCTTTGTCGGCAGCGTATGAGTGTGTATAAATGGAATTAGTTACTTCGGATGGTCACTTGACATAGCAAACACTACCATCAGTGTGTGTGAATGGGTGTGAATGGGTAGCAATTTACAAGCTCAAGTCCATTTACCATATTAAAAAGTAAAAGAATAAACCAGCAAATCAGCAAACGTCAAAGCAGCTGTCTTTTATACAGTCTAGTGTTTTACAATTTCTGCAGTTGGAGGGCAGAACTGAGCCAATCAGACATAAAAAGTACTTTTGTGTACCATACAGACTTGTAAAATTCTAAAAATACATTTGAGCTGACTTGTTTGTGAAGCCCATCTTTGTCCAGTTTTTTTATCTTTCATGATGTAACTCAGTCTCTTAGTTTAAACTGAATTTCCTTTTCGAAATCCACCATTCTGTTAATTTCAGAGCTGAGAGGAAAATTAATTAAAAAGGCATTAACAGACATGTTTCATGTACCCGTCATCCCAGGGATGAGAGCTCTAAAGTGTCCAGAAGTATGCTGTGGCTGTTTAATAAATCTCATAAACCCATTCATTTCATCCAAAAAGAGAAGATGTGAATTGTTTCATGCTGCAGAGCTATCATGTTTCTGTGTGTAAAAGCCGAAATGGTTAACAGTCTTAGTTTGATCCTGTCTTACCAAAAGTTGGTCAAGTTTAAGATCTGCAGGATGCATCGTGACTTCATTAGGCGTCCGGTATGTGTGAAAAGGTGACAGAGCACGTGTTCGACAACTGCCACTGAGAGACAATAATGGAAACTTTGTGGTACATTGTTAAAATAAGTTATGAAATCAATAAGTGAAAAGCAGATGATGCAACTATAGGGCAACAGCGGACACACGTGTAATTTAATGAACCAACAGTTGCTGCGTTCCTGAGCCTGTTCAACAGTTTTTTTCTATTCTGGCATTTCCTACTTGGACACTTGTACTGTCACTAGTTCCACCTTGGGTTTCAGGTGACAAAGGCCTCAGAAATGAAGTTACTAGTTTCTTTCTTTTGCTTGTGACTGACCATGTAGTTGTGCCAAAACCACACATATCCAAAGAGTAGACTGAATCATCTTTGAACAGATGTTTGTTACAGTTTTTAGAGGCATTGAGAGATGAGGCTTAGTAGTTTAAAAAAACGATAACTATCGTCATGCTTCTTCTTTTAGCTTCTGACTTAATTATGAGAGGACATTTTAATCCAATTAATCTATGGTGTGGGTAGGTGGGAAAATATTTACAGTATCATGAAAACAAATAATGCAACACTTTATTTTTATGCAGTGCTCTAATGTTAACCATCTTGGGCATGTAAGCATGCCAAAATTTGCAAATTAGAAGCCGTACTTTGTTTGGCATGTTTTGCTTATATATATATTTTTATTCCAGTTTTTGTGATAAGCTAAAGTATTGAATGCATTAATTGTTCATCTGATGATGGTGCTCGATGAACATTTACAGGATAACAAAAAAAATCTTCTTTTTCTGATTTGGTTCACAAGTTTAAAAAAGCTAGAGTTCAACATTGAATGTCCTTTTGCCCATATTCTGTGTTCATTTATTTTTCCACTGTGTCTGCTGTCACTGTTTGTGGGTGAGGTCTGATTTGCCATGTGAAGGTTTTGAGGATGACAGAACA